AAAAAAAATCCAACTGGCTAATTTTGTCCCAAGTAGGTTAGAACCGAATTCAATCACAGCCTCTGCAATTTTACAACTTTTGCACAGGTTTTACTAGTTATTAGAGACTTTCATTTTAAAAAGTTTTATTTGTCCACTACTCACATTTACTGAAGGCTAGTGGTATGGTTCACGACACTGTGCAGGAAACAAGAACTCACAAATTAGGGCTTACCAGAACTATGAGCACTGGTGCAACGTCACTTTTATCCCCTTAGCACATTTATGTGGCCTTTTACCAAACATCTCAAGTAAAACCCCTGGCTAAGGTAAAGCCTCCTGCCTGCGAGATACCACACGCATTATAAATACAGTTCTTTCTCCCCTTGCAGTTGTTTGCATCTGTCACTTGTCAGCCTTGTGTCAAGCATGCACCCCAAAAAAATAAAAGCTGTAACTTTTATAGATTTTTATAAATTTAACAAACTGAACAGCATGAAAGTGGTGCTGTACTTCACAAGTTTATGAGGTGAGGAGGCATATATATGATGAGTGACAGAGTAAACTCAGGCATATGTAAGGAGGCCTGTATAAATCATCCTTTTCTCACCTCAGGACCATCCCAATGCTAAACTCCAAAGTCCTGCTACAAAGCAGAAGCATCAGAATACTTCACTGAAACAGAAGTAAACAGCTGTTTTCCCATGCTTCATACAGCCAACTGAACACAGAGACTTGCAACAGAAAGCATTAAGCAGCGTTACATACAGGGTAGGTGCCTGTATCTGCCAAAATCCCATTACGCCTATTCATTTATTATAGCTAAGTGCTCTACCTAATGACACCTAAGTTGGAGTAGCGAGGTCTCTTCAGACCGAGACATCATTTTAGCTCCACTGGCTGTTGTGGGCTCTGAACAGTTGCTTAATTTCAATATTGACTTTAAATGTTTTTAGTTTGGCTTATGTGATGTCCAATACAGGGACCAAGAGATACCCTGAGTTAAAAGTAAAATGTATAACAATGTTAAGAGAAACTTTAAAAACGTTAAAAAACAGTATCACTATTCTGGAGTGGAAGGAGGAGCTATTTCCTGAACAGTGGTCTTCTGATCCTGCTGCATGGTCGCAATTATCATTTCAGGTAGAACACCACTGAAAAGCTTTCCCTTCCCTGTTGTACCTCCACTTACTTGCTGCACCACAAAAAGACAGACACAAAGTACTCCCAATTCATCTTTCGCCAAGAAACAACAATGGTTCTCAGACTGCTTGCATTCCACCAATAAAAAAGTAAAAATATGGGACATTTTAATATCTTTTCCCTCGCCTCAAGCATATACACAGATATACCAAAAAAAGTTGCATCCACCACTCATTGATGTTAAAATAGATGCTAACTGAAAAAAATCTGAGATTTTCAAGGAAATATTTTCAGAAATATATACTATTGTTTTGTATAGTTAAACAAATTATTCAAAATTAACCACCAGAAGACTTAGTAGTATCTAGCACCTCACCAATATTTTTCAGATTGCTCTTTCCATTTCAGATTTATTTACTTCTCCGGGGATTAAACCCAAACAAATCAACCTTACTTTGCAGGTGGAAGTCCTTGGCTTCCTTACAATAGCAGAGTAGAAAGATGAAATAATTTCCCCTCCAGGATCAAGAAACATTATGGAATTGTGAGAGGAGGATCACCCCAAAGAACAGAAGATTAGTTAACACACGTAGCAAAAGGAGATGTGACTATTGGCAGCAAACCTTTTGAAAACAATATAATGCATACCTTTTTGCATAGCTAGTTCTCTCATACAACATGAGCAAAAATTAGAAACACAATAGAAATTATTTCATAGCATACTTCAGAGATAATGGATGAAACACTTAATCCCGTTTCTGGGTAATTGACCAAACAGACTCTAATTTGATGTCACTTCCAGTCCAACATTCTTTCTTTTTTTGACAAACTGGTTGTAATAAGGAAAACTCAAAGCCAGAAAAATCACATTAAAAAAATAAAAGTACTGAGTTTTAACTTTTGAAAAGCCCTGTTAAAGTGGACTTAAGTATCAGATATGCAAGTGATGAAGAATGTTTGTTTTAATGAGCTCTCAAAGTCATTACAAAGACAACAGAGTGCATGTAATTTTTGAGCCACAAAACATAAAAGGTTTCAACAGCACTACTATAAAGCTGAGAAGTTAATAGTTATGATGTCAGAAATTTTGACATCGTCACAGTTAAACCAGAAAGCAACACATATCTGAACAAAGAAGATCTGTTTGGAATACGTATGTTCTAGGCAACAGAGAAGAGGTAAGAGTGAAAACTAAACAGAGATTCAGCATCCAAAAATTAGATGCATCACAATGACACATATGCAAACAACCTGAGTGAAAGTCCTCAAAATCTGTGCTGGATTTTGGGCACCAAATGGAAAAATAATTCACTGTAGCATACATATATTTTAAGACAATATTGTAAGCCGATCTTTAGCATTTGTTTTATCTACTTCAATTAATTTTATGTACAAGGCGTGTACTCCAAGGAGAAGGAGCACTAGCCTGCTCTGCCCAGATTGGTACCAGACAAGAGGAGCAAAAAAGGCTATACATGGTAAACCTGCAAGGATCAGAGAAGTGATCTTTAACTGGAGGTTGCAACTTAGTGGTCACGATACTCAGAGATCTTACTTTCATGAAAAAGAACACATCTGGAAGTAAACTCTAAATCTACCTACTCACGTGAGATGATGCATTTAAATACAGACAGAGTTTAAAAGCAGTATTCCACATTACCCACAATGTAACTGAAAAGCCTATGTTATTTGAAGCAGTATTTCAAATGGATAGTTTCTTTCTAAGGAATGCATGTCTGACTCTTGTTTTCCCCACACTGTCGTTGCATAAAGGTCACAACTGTATAAAATACACAGGAGTGGGATCATGATCCCATGACCAGTCAGCCTAAATTAATTCCATTCCCAGCTTTGTCAATGACTTGCAACATAAGTAACAAATTTTTTGTTTGTTTATCTGTACAATGATACTTACCTACTTCACAAGGTTGTTGTGGAAACTAATGAGAGATATGTTAATATTTAGAAAGCATCATAAGCTGCATCCAGCCCTACAAAAATCTGACATGTCCTACAGTAGCTTGACTAAGTTTTTCAGGACAACAATTAATTATCTTTTCTTTATTTGTTTGTACAGTTCCCAGAACAATAGGGTCTTAATCCTTGACTTGGACAGCTAGGCACCATTGAAACATAAATAATTAGCAAACAATATGAGTTGAGAGGTTTAGCAAAGTGTTATCCTTCCCAGAGCTGCAAGGCACAGAGCATTTACATGACCAGAATGTAGCCAGCGCAAAGGGAACTGGGGACAAGGAACCATAGCCTTGGTTGCCTGCTAACAACTTTGGTGGTTTTGTACCCTTGAAAGAGCAAGGGTACAAAAAGAAGACTGATGGAATGCACATGTGAGAAGAACACTATCCAGAGGAGCACAGGGACTGCAAATATAGTTGCCTTTTGAGTAAGGCATTTATGGCAAAAGCTTTTTATGTATTTGCCAGCTCTACTGAGCTGCAAACTAAGCAATCACAGTAGGAAAAAAATAGGGGTTTGGTTTCAGGGTGGTTTTTTTTGAGAAACAACACAAACATGCAATTAAATATAACACATTAACAAGAAAAAAAAACAGTTTTATAACCAACAGTAGCTGTTGTCTCGAGATGTTTCATGCACATATATGCTGCCTTCATCATGAGTTTGCCCACTACATTCAAGCTAGAGGCTCACTTAGAAGTATCAGTTGTGTGTTATCACATACACCAAGAACATCACTCCATTTCCTATCAGAAATAAAAAGGTTGGAGCTAGTCCAATCACTTGAGTAGCTCTTCATCTTGGACAGGCTTCATCATCAGCATCTAAGAATAGCTTCAAGTATCAAGCATAAACGGTATGACATGGAATTTGTGGCAACATTTCCAAGTAAAATAATTACTGAGCAATTAAGCAGCTGTTTCTTCTTCGTTACCTGTCCACATATTTGTTCTCTTGTTGGTGAATTCTAAGCTATGTACTATCTGTAGGTGGATATCAGTAATTTGGGCTTGTTTACTCTAGAATGAAAGACTGATGGGAAGCATGACTGTCAGCATTACTGGAGTGAAAAGTAATTCCTTCCAAGTGACAAATGAAGAAATACTCTGCTTCCAGTCAGTCTGGAAGACACCTGGAGGACAGGCAATTTCCTCAAGGTGATGAATGAAAAGGAAGTAGAATACTGAGCCGAAAGCCTGGAGTGTTTCCAGCAAACTGTGAATGTAGGGCGAGGCAAACGAAAGCAGTCTTCAAGAGGGATAAAGGCAAAAGAGACAGGGTTTAATACACTGCCTCAATTTTTGCTTTCTTAAATAAAGATTATGTTAAAACAATATATTAGGAAAAAAATGGAGAATTACAACAGAGACTAAGTATATATTATTTTCAGCCACTAAATGATGTACAACATATATGCAACACAAAACAAATGAAACACTACTTACCTGTATGTATTAAGTTAATATTATCCCAGTATTTTAGAACAGTCTGTCCTTTCAAATTCTTATTATAATATCATTATTACACTATGCATCCAAAACTCTTGGATACTCTCAGTCAGCAATACATACTTAATACACACCTAACTTCAAACACATTAACCCATTCACTTAAGTAATCTATTTAACATGCAATAAAAATTAAAGCAAATCCGTCTTTTCAATAGTTTAGACACCTCACCCTCTCTTCTATTTGGCAGTATGGTAATTGAAAAACTCAAATAGATTAGAGTGATGAAGCATTTTCGTCAAAAGACTACAGGGGAAGTAGTATGCATACAGTTTGATGGGATCTGAAATAAATGCAGAACCTCTATTTTTGAGGTAAGAAAAAAAAAGAGATAACTTTATTTCTAACTAAAGTAAATGTCAGAAAGTCTTCAAAAGTCTCAAAAGTCTTACCTGTTGGTATGCTTCATAAATAATATCAAACAAGAAAGCCTGAGGCATTTCACTCGCTCTGTACCTAGCACGTTCCAATGAGTGGTCTAAACAGCCATCTGCAGTAGAGGCAATAACAGTAGAAACTAGAGGACGAATTGCTCCTGCTGCCTATGGAACAAAATACAAAGAGAGGCCTAAATGTTATTAATATTAATGTATATCAGATAGTGGCATTCAAAAAAGTAAGACCTTTAAAACACATTTTCTACTTATTTATCTTTTATATATCTCATAATGCATAAATCATACTACTTAGCCTGTATGAGACTTTTAATATGAATATAGCAATGGAAGACTGTATAAGTAAACACTGAGGGTCAATTTACAAAAAGAATTTAATCTAAAGTTCTTCATAAACATCTACCACAGATACATGCACAGATCTGAGATGTTTGTTTTTCAGACTTTTTTACATATATATTAGGTAACCTCTGTGAGGACAGTTCTAGGCCTATTCAGATATCAAACAGCAGGAGACACATCTGAGAGGTCTTGACAATCCATAACACTCATTGCTTTCACAGATTGCGATTTGGCTAAACTGCTCAGAAATAAGCAACAAGAAAAGTTTCGAAAAATTGAGTTTGTTTCTCCACGTTGAATTCACCCTGTGAAATACTGAGCAACCACACTTACCAGTGAAATCACTGGGAACACAGTACATATATCAGAAAGTATCCAATATACAGCAGTACTGTGCCCCAGAACAGATACTTAAATGCTTATATTTCAGTTTTGCATTTGCTTAGATCTGAAACCAATTAAACATGTATCTTTGCTCTTTTCATCAATATATAGTATTAAAGATCTATGGCACCTCTGAAACACAACTCTGCTAGCTAGTTTTAGTCATTTTGATACCAGAAAGTTACCCACACTTCATTATCACTTATCAAATACTCATGTGAACTTTATATGAAGCTAAAGGTAACTGGGACAAGACTTGTCCATACAATAATGAAGAAAAGGATGCAATGGCAGAACATTGCTTATCAAATCACAGGGCAAAAAGCATGGTCCCTAACACTGCCAACCACTGAGAATGGCTTCCTTACACTATACTGTTTATTATCCATGTTTAAGAATAATAAAAAAGAATAACTGATGCTATTCCAAAATATTTGGAATTATCCAACATCTTAAACCAGTACACCTAGAAAACCACTCCCAATGGTGAATTCTGACATTATTCACTGCAGTCACAGAGTATCTTCTGAGGTCTGATAAGCTCAGATGCAGAAAAAAATAGGTCTCATCACATAAAATAAAAACATTGTTACTGTTGATTTCATTTATCTTCTGTTGCCAAATCCTGCCCGCATACACAGAGTCTTGTTCATTCTTAACAAGATCTCTGACCTTGGATAGGCACACAGTGGCAGAACAAGACACCACAATTGAGTCCAAAGTGGGTTTTTTTCCCCTCTTGGAAGAGCTAGTTGTCTTCCCTCCCCCTTTCACACTACTGAACAGTAAAACAAAGAGGAACGCTGTCCAAGTGTTGAGCACTTTATGAGCTCTAAAATATAGCTTCTAGTTCATTCTTGTACAGAATGAGGACAGAGATGTGAACCAATTTCTCATGTCCAAGAGTTCTGAGATGCACGATCTATCAGGGCAGGGAGAAGGGAGAGAAAAGATTCAAAAGATTCACAAATATCTGAATCACTTTCCCAATATCAGAAAAGCACTTTTTCTTTCTAATACATGGGAAGAGATAGCTATATAAAACACTACATGGAGCAAAACACTATCATCCAAAGGCAAAACATAGAATCATAGAATGGTTTAGGTTG